TTTGGTATAAACGTGTAAACCTACATTTATTCGAACGAGTTCGCGAACCAGCATGATCGGACCATGGGAACGGGGGTTTATGGGGTAAAAATGGGGTTTTCTAATTTTTCACCCTGAAAACATAAAATTTTGCAATTTCTTTCTAAACCATTTTGTAGAAGCTCAAAAAACAAATAATTTAGTATATTGAAGCATTGTTGCATGCCTAACGGTTACGGAAAAATTGCAAAATAGTGTAAATTTAAAATTACCATGTTATTCTTATGGAGAATAGATACAGTGTTGTAGCTTGCTTGTCTATGGACATATTTTAACGAAATTTTGAAATTTTGTTTACTTCATACTAAGCTATTAATATTTCAATAAAAACCCCCTATTTTCTTCCCTGTAGCAGCAAACCTAAGTACTCATTAATATTAATGATATTTAAATAGGAAATAAATCTGACAATTTTAAGGAAATAATTTAGTGGAATTCCAGCTGTGTAGATGGAAATTCGCTTAGTCTGCAGGTTAGCTGCGGCGGGGGTATTTTATATTATCAGCAAGTTTGGTTGGTTAGGTTAGGTTTTGACAGTTGAATTCTATAATTAAAAATTAAAAAATTAATTTTACAGTCAAATACCCCCGCCTCAGCAAACCTGAAGACTTAGCGAATTTCCATTTGCCTGATTGGATTTAAACTAAAATGTCTCCTTAAAAAAATATCACATTTATTCCCTACTTAAACAGAATTAGTTTAATGAGTACTTAGGTTTGCTGCAACAGGGAGGGTAAATTTTTTTTTAATGTAAAATGTTAAAAGGTACTGTGTAAAGGGTGTTAGTAAGATATTATTGTATTCTCCAAATTTGATCAAAATGTGTTCATAAACAAGCAAACTACAACAGTTGACTTATTCTCCATAAGAATAACATGGGAATTTAAAACTACAATTTTTTTGAATTGTCTCCCTAACAATTAGGCGCATGATAACGCTTCAATATACTAAATTATTTGTTTTTTTAAGCTCTACAAAATGGTTTAGAAAGAAATTGTCAAATTTTGTGTTTTTAGGGTCAAAAACGAGAAAACCCTATTTTTACCCCATAAAACCCCCCATAAACCCCCGTTCCCATAGTCCGATCATGCTGGTTCGCGAACTCATTCGAGTTTATCCCGCCTTACACCTTCAAACCATGTTTTATCAAAATCGGACAAAAATTACTCAAGTTATCGTGTGGATGGACACATATATATATATCTATATATAGAGATATAAATATTTCAACGAATGGCGTTTTTGGCCTCTGGGGACATAAAAATGAAAAAGTAAATCGGTCCCGGGCCTAGGTCTTACCATGAGACCTACGGTAATAGCTACTTCCCTATAGGGAAATTCGCTAAAAGTTAATTTTCTAACTAAAAATTATAAAATAAATTCAAAGATTTTCTTAAATCGACGTTTTGAGACGCTAGTGACTAGTGACTAAGTGTGGTTCGAGCTTCGAGTTGACTCGAGTCGGGTCTTGCCTCGAGTCAACTCGACTCGACTCACCAACTTAACTCGTCTCCAGAGTTGCCACTTTTAGGTTAATTACCCTTTTTTAGGGTAATTTACTGGTCTTAGGGTAAAGTTGAGGGTAATGGTAGATTTAGGGTAATTTTAGGGTAAAACTAAAAGTTAGCATAACAATGGAAATTTTACTAAAAAAATGAAAAAAACTTCAAAATTTGCCAAAAAAACGTTCATTACATACTATGGCCAAACCATCATATTCGATTCAACCGGTTTAAATCGATTGCTATGATAAACTTGTCATAATAAGTTATCCTAATCGATCTTATCAATAGTTGGGAATTATCTGCTTTAGAATGTATTCGATTCTATAACACGTTATAGGCCTAATAAAATATGAAATATTATTCAGTACTGGGTTTGATATTTAATTATGTGGCTGAATTGAATTAAACTGGATTATTTTACAAATTGTGTCAAGAAATTACTACTATGTATAGATTAAAGCTTTGGTGGTACCGGGTACCGTACTACTGTATTTTAAGGATATGATTGTCCAAAAACAGTAGTAATGGGTCGATACAGTAAAAAATACGATAGTTCTTGATTCGATATTTTCCATTATACGATAGTCGATAGAGCTAGTCAATATCAACATTTTGTTCTTCTTTCGGGTGGTTTTTTGGAATCGAGTATAATTTTACGTAAATTGATTGATATTGGAACTTCATTTAGTATAATTAACCACCTTATGTAGGATTTATATGATTTTAACAATGTTTTATAGCATTAAACGCAAATATTAACATTTAGGGTAATTTTTAGGGTAACTCAAAGTAGATTTAGGGTAATTTAGGGTAATTTTAGCCCGCAGGGTAAAATCGCAACAACGCGGTGGCAACACTGCTCGTCTCGTCTCGTCAGTCGTCACTCGACGTTCTGTACCCACGAGCACCTCAGCTTCCACATGCACAGGATAACAGCTATTTGTGTAATAGCTTCACTGTATATCTTTAATTGGACCGGTTTAGATAGTTGTTTCGTTTCAACAGATGCAGTTTGCAGTTGCGAACGGTGCATTGTGATTTTAACTTTTAAGTACACCTTAAACACCTTAAAATCACAATTCTTTACTGTTTGTTTATGTTTATTTTTGACTTGAGCTGCTTGAAATTGAAAAGGTGTTTTATGATTATGAAAATTAAAGTGTTGTGAGTAAGCTGAAGCTGATTATTTGTTATTAGGTATTAACAATTAAATATTTTGCGTGCATGAATTATTTATGAAGTTTTTTCATAATCATAAAACACCTTTTCAAGCAGCTCAAGTCAAAAGTAAACAAACAGTAAAGATTAAAGAATAAACACCTTTTCAAAATCACAATGCACAGTTCGCAACTGTAACTGTTGGAAATAGTTATTTGTGTAACTAGTGGTGAAAGTGGCACTTTGCTGCACACGAGAGCAATGTTTACGCACGAGCCGCAGGCGAGTGCGGAATGATCTCGAGTGCAGCAAAGGCCTTTTTCACTCGTGTTACACATTATATTTTTCCTACAGTCACTATAAAGCATATAAATAATTAGTCTTTCAAACACTATACAACACGTTTTTAGGTTCAGCTGGCAACACAAATGGTGCCCTAGAGAAAGTAGTACCCGCGGTCCGTATCACTCCGGTATTTTTCCTCGGCAAGAAATGTGCTCCGCGTTTTGAGAATATAGTTCCGTATGTTTTTGTGATTTGAAGTGGTTTCCGCGCCTAAAAAAATGCTTTAAAGGTATTTTCTTGTTTATTAAGATCGTAGGAATTATTTAAAAACGTTTAAAAGAAAAGTCCAGAAAGTTCAGAAATACCGAAACTATAAACACGAAATGACAGGTTAAATCGTAGTTATAATAGTCAATCAGCTGCTCATAGTATTATTATCTTTAAGTGTTGCCAACCTATTTCCAAGCGTACACGGATTACGTGCATAATAGAACCACGCTGTTTTGTGTTGTTTCGGTCTTACTTGACAGGTAGGAAACAATATGTCTGTGTTCAGGGTACTAATTCCAATGTTGTGGACATCAAATTGGGCGTGCCCCAAGGATCTGTTCTTGGACCTTTCTTTTTTATAATTGCCATTAATGATCTTCCAAAGAATCTTAAATCTAGGTCAGTAATATATGCTGATGACACATCAATTTTTGCCAAAAATTCAGACAAAATAGAACTCTTCAGTGAAATCAGTGAAGCCCAGGGAGATGCTCTAAATTGGTTCTTCACAAATAAACTTCTCTGCAACCAAAGTAAAACCCAAAACATTATTCTTAGCACCTCCTTAAATCTGGACCTACAAACAGTAAAGCTATTAGGTATTCATATTGATTCCAAGCTGTCTTGGCATGCTCACATAAACAACCTTTGTAAAAAGATTTCACGGGTCAGCTATCTTTTTTGGAAGCTGAGGGATTCTGTGTCAGATGAATACCTCAGAATGACTTACTTTGGTTTATTTCAATCTCATTTATCTTATGGACTGGTTCTCCGGGGACATGCAACGGCCGTATCAGATGTGCTTCTGATTCAGAAAAAAGTTCTTAGAATCATGTGCAGAGCTAATAGATTGGACCACTGTCGACCTTTATTCAGACAAATGAAAATTTTAACAGTAACTAACTTATACATTCTACATATTCTAATTTACACTAAAACTAATCTTCACCTTTTCCTCACCAGGCAAGATATACACCTACACGAAACCCGAAACAGGACAAAACTCAACATTCCACAGCACAGATTGGCAAAATTCGGCAAATCACACAAGGCAAATTGTATCAAATTTTTCAACAAACTACATGAATCAGCAAGGACCACCACACCAAAAATCTTCAAAAATAAGGTAACTGCTTGGCTCTTAGACAATCCATTTTATAATATTTATGAATTTTTAAATACATGTGTAGAAATTAGTTTCTAGCTGTAGGTAGATTTTTATGACAACCTGTTTTAATTTAATGTAACTATGACAATGCCTATCTCATGTATATGATCAATGGCAAATAAACCATTTCATTTCATTTCATTTCATTTCGTTGGAATCCTGATGTGCGGCAAAGTATAAACCGTACGGCAAAGTATAAATATGCAGCAATTAGCAGCTTTCTGTACTATAAACAGTACAAGGAAGCCAACTTTGTCGTGTGACTGTAGGAAAAACAACTTTTTAAACAGAAACAGGTGCAATAAAGATATACGGTGAAGCTATTACACAAATACCTGTTATCCCAGGAACTGTTCGAAGGCCTTCTGTGCTTGTGGAAGCTGAGATGCTCGTGGGTACAGAACGTCGAGTTCAGTCGTCTCGTCACGTCACCCACAGTCGTCACATCACCATCAAATTAGTGTGGTCTGTTCTCTGTTCTGTGGTCTGTGGTCGTGGTGTGGTTGTGTTTGTGTACTTACTTACTTGTGTGTTGACCATAAAAAGTTGCCTTTTTCAGTTTTTCTATTCTTTGCTTTGAATTAATTCAATGAATTGACAAACTAGACAGTAATTCAATATTAACTGTCGTTCGATTTAGAATGTTATCTCGTAAAAATAAAGACTTAAGAACTATAAAGGAAGGGGTGGTAGGAAAATATGTTAAGAAAGAAGCCCCGCCAGAAATACCTAGTAAGTTATTAGTTTAACTTTTAGGTTAATTAGGCTATTTAACCTAATTTATTTTACACTGTTTTTGATAAGTTATAGGCTTAATCAACTGTGTAGTTTTGATTTATTTGACTTCAGGATTGCGTTAAAAAAGCTAATTAATCAACACAAATATGTCATAGGATAAGACTTGACTTAGGCAATAAGCCATCTGAATGTTGATATTCAATTAGCCTACTATAACCTAAACACAACTAATATTACCTGACAGTCAACTAATATACATAAACTTAGGCCTGCCCATTAATTGAGGGGTATTTATTCCGTATAGGTGCCTCTAAACGAATTTTTAATTTCGATATCTTACTTTATAGTTTTTTACCTCCTGAATCCGAATAGGCTATACCATTATTTTTCACCGCTGATGAATATTTCTCAAGATATCGCTGTAATAATATACAACATTACAAAAAACACGGTAGGATGGATAACATTTACTAGTGGAATGATCTGTGGGTTAACTAAGCCTACTTACAGCTGACTGTTTTCAACCACACGACAGGCAACTGGAAGTAACAACTTTTGAACGTTATTAACTCACTCTGATTCTATCATCGGCATTATGCCTACTGACGCCATTTTACTTCACTACAACTAGAACTCAAAACAAAAATACTCGTACTCATACGTGCTGCGTACTGCTAGTCTGCTACGCTGTTACAAGTTCAGGTTAAGTGAGGAGAGTAACATGGTTGATGGGCTGCACTTTACTTGACGTCCTACACTCATTCGAATGAAAATATCGATCGATATATCGATTAATCGATTGCTTCATTCGATATATCGTTTGGTTACTTACTTGATACTTACTTACCGGTACTTGATACTTGAAGTTTTCATCTTTGACCAGCGTTGCTGGATTGATTGCGTCAATGTTTGTTTGTTTGGCTAGACGAGGTCGCTAAAGTTGTCCTCGAAGAACTCTTTCAGTGAATAATATGCTCTACCAATGAGCCAGGACTTAATTTTGGTCTTGAAACTATTGTCATCCAGGCATTTAACTCCAGCTGGCAGCCTATTGAACATCTTGAGGGCCAGGTGGGGGAAACAGTCCTTTTTTTTGTGAGTCTGCAGTACGGGAGGTTTAATCTGATGCCATGTCGAAGATTCAGGCCATGGCTCTCCGCTCTTGTACAAAAGGTGTTTATGTTTACCTTGATGTGTAGTAGGCTTACGTAAATATAGTTGCTGTACACAGTGAGGATTCCCAGTTGCCGAAAAATTGGCCTACAGTGGTCCAGATAGTCGGCCGACGACACTACCCTAACAGCCTTTTTCTGGAGAAGGAGGATGGCATCACAACTAGACACATGGCCCCACAGCTGCAGGCCATAGCTAAGATGGCTATGGAAGAGCCCATGATAGATTATGGTAAGATGTTCCTTTAACAAAAGTGGCTTAAGCCTACGCAGCAGGTGCACAACTCTTGACAGCTTCTTGCAGACATTTTCTGTATGCTCGTTCCACATTAGTCTTGAGTCGAGTTGGAAGCCCAATAGTTTCACCGTCTCAGGCTGGCAACCCTGGCTGAGGCTGCATGTCATAGTTTGGGTTTTTTCAGCATTGAGGCTTAGCCTATTAACTTCAAACCAGGCCTTTGCCTTGTTGAAAATTTCATTTGCCCTCAGACTTGCATCTTCTGGTGACTTATCCCTTGAGCAAATGGTGGTGTCATCTGCAAAGAGCAGTATATCACCCAGCAAACTCAAGTCATTTATCGCAATGATAAAGAGTACTGGACCCATAACAGAGCCCTGTGGGACACCATGACTCACTGGAAGGGGGGAAGATGAGGCTCCTCGTATTGAGACTATCTGCTGTCGGTCTTGGAGATAGGAGTACAACAGATGTAGGACAGGACCTTGGACACCATATTTCTCCAATTTTTGTAATAAAACTTTGTGAGGAACACATTAAAATGCCTTACTTAAATCGGCAAGAATAAGGGATACTGAACCTCTTTCCTCAAATGCGTCCAAAATATTAGAGACCAGGTTTAACACGGCAGTCAATGTTGATTTCTTCTCCCTGAATCCATGTTGTGCTTCTGAGAATAGCTTGTTCCTCTCAAAGTGGGACACCAACTGGTCCTTCATAATAGTCTCAAACACTTTGGCCAGTGCTGGAATAATAGAGATAGGTCTGTAGCTTGACATTAGATGAGGGTCTCCCTTCTTAAATATTGGTACAGTTCGTGCAGTCTTGAGGGCACGAGGGAACACCCCTTGTTCAAAACAGTCATTGTTAGGTAGTTTTAATAAAATCTTATGAATAAAATTTCTGTTCTTTTTTATTAAATTTATTTTTAACACCAAAAAAAAAACAGCTGACCAATATTATTATTAAATTTAGACTGAATCATTGTTCCATTGCATACTAAATTATGCATTTAGCTTACAATAACATATTACAACAAAAACTATTTAACATTTCTCCGGGCCACAACATTTTAAACATTAAGTTTTACATATTTGCTGGTAGGTCTTCTGAAAATTCTCTTATTTAGCTTAGACGTCGACAATCCTGACTTTGCCACTTTTGCCAGGATAGGTGGCTTCTATAAACACCTTTTGACATCACGCCTCTTGAATCTGTGTTCCTCGTCTCCTTGAGTATAGACAGTTGCTTCTGAACTTGATGAAGTTCACTAGTCTTGAAATCGTGATTTCCGTCCGGCTGACCAAAGAACTGTCTGTCCTTCTTAATCCATTTGTAAGCTTTCAAGAAGTCGTTCAGCGTATTCTTAGCACTGTCAGAGTCTGACTTCAGTTTAGTGATCTTGTGCTGAAACTCTATCATTTTCCGCTGCATTTCACTTTCCTTCTCTAATGCTGCTTTGTCTTTCTGTGTTACTGTAATCTCACTGTTCACTTTTGACAAAATATCTTTCTGATCCATTACTTGCTTATGGAGCGTCTTAACATCTGTATGAGCTTGATTTGCTTGCCCGGTATGTTCTTCAAGCTCTTTATTATTCAGTTGTTCGTTGGTAGCCACACATTTTTCGATTTCTTGCTGTTCATTTTCAATGCTCTTTATCAATTCTTCAATTTCTGACCATGACGTTTCAAACTCCTGCTCTCTTTCCTTCCACTTATTTCTGCTTTCCTCTGCCTTTTTCTGTAATCGTTTATTTTCTTGTCCTGCAGATTTTAATTCTTTTTCTCTTTGGTTTTTTGCATCTTTTACTTTAGCTTCCAGCTGCTTAACCTTTTTTTTTGAAAACTCCTTTTCTTTTTTCTTACACCCACTGACTCTCATGAACAATTGTATCCTGGTCTTCGCCATTTCTACGTCTGCTTGTCTGATCTCTAGCCTTTGGTTCAGGGAGTAGTGCTTGTCAGCGTCCTTATGAATTGTCCAGATCTTCTGGTCGATGTTTGCATATTCTGTCTCAAGCTGGGACAAAGCCTTCTGACTCTCTGTGAACTCTACAATTTTCATAAACACTGATCCTCCTCTTTTAGGTGCATCTTCAGATAACATTCCGCCAGGTTCAGTGAGGTCTCTGTCCAAAGTGATACATTTCTCCCTGCTACAGATGTGGTATGTAATCTTGGTGGCAGTAGACATCTGGTCACACACAGACACTTTACCAAAGATCCACTTTATCACTGGCTGATTTAACGCAGTGCAGTACTTGCCTGGTGGTACCAGGCTCTGAGTTGTATCGTAATCCTCCCTTAGAGTATTCTCCAGTTTCTTCTTTTTCTTCTCATAATTGGTTCGATGGACATAAATTGAACAAATTGATGAGCAGACAGCTCCGAAATTCAATAATGCCATGCACCACTCTTCTACTCTTCCACTTTCTTCTCCGCGCCACAGAAATCTTAAAGCATCTTGATCTTCGTGCCTTACTTAAAATCTCAAAAATATTTCTTCAATTAGGCTCTTAGTTACAACCTCTTGGCCTCCAAAGCGATGCTCTAACAAACTTATGATCTCAGGCACGTTTTCTGGGTAAATCAAAAGTGCTGAAACAATTTCTTTTGCCTTACCATTCAATGTTCTTTGTACCTTTTGAAGATTTTCAATATCAGTCAAGAGTTTAATATCAGTAGAGCGTTTAAACTCAGCAATCCAAGCTGACCATTGACTGAGATCTCCACTGAAATCTGGGAGATTACACAAAACCCTAGCATTGGTCTGTTTCCCGTCCGTATTGAGCTGATTTGTTAAGGTATCTTCATCTCGAGGCTCTTCATATCTAACATCTCGAGGCCTTACACCAAACCGCTCAAATAAGTCTGGAAAGGGTTTTTGAAACAGTTTTATTTTGGGATTACTTGCTGGTTGATTTGCCCAAGGCCTAAACTGTTTATCTTGAGCGTTAGCATTAGGTATGTTGGATGTCACCAATTTTTGTACCCTAGGCTTTGACTGGTCATCTAGATGGTCATCAATCGGCTCATCCCTTGATGGTTCATTTGCCCAAGGCGTAAACTGTTCATCTTGGGCATTACTATATGGAATTTTGAATGTACTCACCGACTTGTTGACCCTAGGTTTTGACTGATCATCTAAATGGTCATCAGCTGGCTCATACCTTGATGGTTCAATTTCCCAAGGCCTAAACTGTTCATCTTGGGCGTTCATATTAGTTATTTTGGATGTACTCACCGACCTGTTGACCCCAGGCTTTGGCTGATCATCTAGATGGTCATCAGTTGGTTCATACCTTGATGGTTCATTTTCCCAAGGCATAAACTGTTCATCTTGAGCGTTCATATTAGGTATTTTGGATGTACTCACCGACTTGTTGACCCTAGGCTTTGACTGATCATCTAGATGGTCATCAGTCGGCTCATCCCTTACCCTCACAGTGTTGAACTTCTGTGCTTGATCATCAGGAATCATTTCATTTTTAATACCTTGCATCCAAAAGGTAACAGCTTCTTTCGTTGGTATAGGTTGATCAATTGACACGAGAGAACGCCTGGAAGTGTTACTACCTCTTG